TAACAGGCAAAGCTACAAAGTGCTGTACATATGTTGGAGTGAATGTACTGTAATGAGCGCCAGGCTTAAAGACAGTTCTTCTACCTTCTTCTCTTAGGGATCGTAACTCTATCCTCATCTTGTGTAAAGCGTCTTCTAGCTCTGCACAGCGTGAGCGCTCCTTGTCCAAAGCTACTTTCATGTCACCGTACTGCATGGGAACAGCCGGCTGGGCCTGTTGAGCAAGTGCCCCATTGGTGGTGGTGCCTACATCTTCCCGCCGCCGCCCAAATATACCCTGTGCAGAAAAGACACAGCAGGGATTATTTTTATACAAAGAAATTACCTTGAAGCTGATTGTTAATCTAATAGGATATTTTTTTATAGACTGATAGTTTAATATTTTCCCAGACCTTCTTTTTTTTGGTGGGCTGGTCCATTTTGGCTTGAAGGAAGTCGATGAGTTTGGTCTGCTGGGAGATCGTCCCCTCCATCTTCACTTTCTCGTGGGAGTAAACAGCCTGCAGCAGTGCAGAAATCAAAAGCTCAGAGAAGGAAACACTTCTAAAGTTAACTTTAAAAAGAAGTCCCTCTGGGAAAACATGAATCAGGCTTGTATCTTTTTACCTGTCAACATCAGTTACACAATTTTATTATCTAACTAAGAGCTTCTTCTTTTATTGATGACACCATATTTCATCTTGTTCTAAAAAATGCTGTACTGAGCACCTGTATATTCTCCAGCTGATACTCCAGATCTGTCCTTTCAGTTTTGAGCATGTCAGTTTGGTCCAGAGCATCCTGAAGGCCTTGTGTCAAACGGAAAATGTGGCTCTTCTGGAGGTCCATCTGCTGCTGAAGCTTCCCTTGCTGTGGGAAAACCAGCAAACAATTAAGCTACTAAAAAAAGGGTAATCTGATTTACAGTCAACCACTTTTCAAAGTGGTAACAAATACAATTAAATTAAATGAAAATGCAACCCAAACAGACGAGTTCAGAGTCCATGTACCTCTTCCATCAGCCTTTGTTTGAGTTCCCTCTCCGTCTCCAGTTTCTGCTGTAAGCTGCGGGCGTTCATCTCCAGCATGGCATGCTTCTTCTCCAGATCATTGAGCTGAGATAACAAGAGTGCACGTCAAATTGTGACACAAACCAGCCACAAACACATTATATAAAATAAGATTAGTCACTGAGAGAGCTAAACTCACTGTAACCTAAAAACACACACAAAGAAAAGCTAATTAGGAAATCTAAATCTGACTATATTTGTGAAGATTGTATTTCAAAGTTTCAGCATATATACAATTTTAGAAACAAGCAGCAAAAAGCAAGAACAGATGTTTTCAGGGCACAAAACACGACGAGAAGACTTTCACATGATTCTTGACATGATCATCTCGTGCTGTCAAACCGACGAACAGGCTTGAACCTTTTCGTGTTTTTATGTTGGGAATTTTGTAACTTGCACGTACATGAAACAATTCTGGACCAATTCAGAAGTATCGTAACAAAATTAATTTATGGTTCTGTGCTGGACTCACTGTGTCAGACAGACTTTCAGCCTTCAGTCTTTGCTCCTTCAAGGCCTGCTGTAAGGCCATGATCTCAGCCTTATGCTCTTTGACCGCCAGTTCCACGGCCTGACGAGACTCAGTGCTGCGCTGCTCTGCACGCAGCCTATGAGCGGCACAAGAACAAGTTTTAAATGTTAAAATATTCAGGTAATAAACAGAATGGCATCCTTCAGACATGTTATACCTACTACAAGCGTTTGTTCAAAATAAAAACATAAATGTTACCTGTTCTGCTTTTCATTATCCAGAAGTCTCTGCAAGTCTCTGGTGCGTCTCTCTGCTTGGCTTTTTTCGTCCTCCAGCGCACCCCTCCACGCCTCCCACTGCCTCTCCTTCTCCAGCAACTCGTCGTTCAGAGACTCCAGCTCCACCACCTGCTCCTCCAACATGCTACACGTTGTCTTCAGCGTCTCAATGTTCTGGGAGCAGAAATGAAATAGCAGACTGAAGGGAACATCCTTTGCAGCTTTTGGCAACACCAAGTGATTATTGTTTCTGAAATTTTGCTGACAGCAACATGATTTCAGGTGCCATAAGGTAAATTAATTAACCAAAGGATTTTTGTGGTCGTGAATGAACGTTTTTCAGCAACTATGTTAAACTTGCTGTTTATTTATTTACTTATATTTTTTACTGCAACTCTATAAAAAGATAAAAATATATTTGCATCCAGACTACTGCCTGAAGTAAGTTGTGTTACCTGCAGGGATTAAAGCAAAAAAAAAAATCTTCTGACAAAGTTTTTCTACACCTAGAGTACCCAAGTCCACCCATTGACCTTAGTAAAAGTATACAGTATAGTGTGTAAATGACCTTAGTAAAAGTATACAGTAGTGTTCTCTAAAGAAGGGTTGAAGTTGTAAGGAGACTTTCACCTGCACCATCAAGACCAACATTATTTTGAATTATTGTTTTAATATTATAATTGTTGTTGTCTGTACTTTATATGCTCTTTATTTAAAAACAAGTCTCTCTTGTAAATGAGTCCTCGTGACTCGATGAGACTAAACTGTATCAATAAAGGTTGAATGAATGAATAACTTTTCTGTAGTTTACTTTTAGAGGGGTTGTCAGATACATTTAAAAAATATATAGCACATGAAGCCCTTTGCAGAGAATAAATTAACTTAAAATTATTCAATTTTATTTTTGTTTGCCAGACTGACAGATTTCACCCCAAAATGATTATTTCATTCAAAGGGATTATATTTACAGAATTTTAGCTCATGTCGTCATTTAATATGTATTTTTCATATATGATCATTTATTAAATTACATTTACCACAGTACTTGCCTCTCAGTGTGGTTCTAAATATAATCAACTTTAGCTCATCCAAACAGTCACAACACTTTGATGTTGCTAAAACAGTGTAGAATTGAATTATTTAGATATTTATGATAAAATACAAACATCTGAAACTGATACTCAGACAGAACTTTGGAGTTTTGGGGGAAAGTTTCATTTAAAGAGACGCACATCTCTGCTATAATCTGAGATATAAATATTCATCTTTTAGTGTTAATATAACAGGTTTCAGGTCTCTCTTGTAAATAAGTCTTTGTGGCTCAATGGGACTAACCTGTTTAAATAAAGGTTGAATGAAAATATATACTTAATTATAAGAACTAAAACAGCAGAAACAGTCTCCTCTCTCATTTTGAGATGCTCAGGCTGACTGCGTTTCCATGGCAACGCTCCCTGAGTTTGGTCATGCACGCATGTTGCACATGTCTGTATGATGATGACGACGCTCTGAATACACCAACATCTAATACATAGTTAGAATTTAGATGCGAAAGTCCCAGAGAGGTCAGGGCACGGTGCAGGAGTGGTTGGGGGTGATGGTGCAATGGTTCTGGTATCTCCCCCTGGCTGCAGTGAACTGTCACGCGCAAACACATGTTTAATAATTTTTTACTTGTCATCATCTACATGGGGGTGGGTGAGGTGTTCTGTTAGGGTAGAGACGTGTCCTCTTTGAAAAATAGTACAGGAAGCGCAGACTGGTGCTCTCACCTGCACTACGGGCTCACCGTGAACCAGACAGCAGGACCCGCCCTGCTCTGACTGGGCCAAACTGTGGCTCTGGTTCTCTTTATTGGTTGAAATCAGCATCAGTTTAATCTCTGTATCATCATTAAATTGGATGGCTTTAAAAAGACCACACACACTAAAAGTCTTTTCCCTCCCTTTAATTTTTACAGATGATGGAAATCCCTCCTGGTCACATTCAAAATGTTGGAAATCTGTCACGGCGCCGGAGAACTTTAATCCGTGTACCTGTTTCTGGTTGTTGAGGTGCATCTCACGGTCAGCCACCTCCCTCCTGAGGCGGTCCACCTCCTGGCTGAGCTGCAGCTTATCCTCCCGCTCATCTGATGCTTCATCGAGCTGTTTTGACAAGTAGAAGTTTTGACGGTTCAACTCGGCGTTCTCCTGACTCAGCTGCGTAAGCTGTTCCTCCAGGTCAGTGATCACCTGAGACAAAACAAACAGGAAGAGGTGTCAGCTCTGCAAAAAAGACAAAGCTCAAAAAAGACAATAGTCACAGTCAAAAATTAAGTCAGCCATCACAATGATTCTTGTGTGGAACGATGACATTTTAACGAGACGAGTGCCAACTTTTTTACTTCAGTTACTATAATGAATAATCATAAGTCTTACAACCGTATGACAATTTTCTCTGGTTGCTGCCAAATCACAAAAAAGGCAGTAAAGCACTTACTGAACAACTGTCTCTTAAGGCATCAAATTTGCGCTGAATCTCATCCCTGTGGTTCTGTAAAAACAAGAGCAAAATCAAATAAATGGTGAAAGCGCTAACAAATTATCACATGAGTACCGAATTAATGTTATATATTATATTTTGTTATTTATATATATATATATATTTATTTATTTATTTTATTTTTAATATAAAAACCACGTAAGGAAACGGTGACAGTAATTAGGTTAACACCACTACTCGAACGACGTCCTCCATTTGTGTTTTGGTCTCATTTCTTTAAATCGCTCAACATTAATTACGTTACACATGTGAAGGCGAGAACCTCTCCTACCCTCAGTGCGGTGATCTCCTCCTCGGCCTCAGCGGTGGTTTCTTCCAGCTCAGTCTTAGCTTGCTGCAGCTGACTCTCCAAAGCAAGACGTGCGGCCTGCAGGCTGCTGATTTGGGACTCGCGCTCTTGGAGAGACAGGGTCAACTCCGACACCTGTCTCTTAATTTCCAGTTTCTCCTCTTCGTGTTCGAGGCCCATCTACATGCAAATCAAAAACAAGAGTGAATCCTATCTTTACGTTATAGTAGAGATAGAGAAATTATTATTTTTTCCCCAATAAAATGAGTCGGCAAAAATTATCTAGTTTCAAGTCATGTTCAGCTTTGTGATTTTAATAGCATACAGAAAAAATAAGAATCACATTAATTAGAGACATCAAGCAATAAGTGCTAGTTGATATATACAGTACATGCAGATCCACACTGTCATAAAATATAATTAGAATGTACTTTAGCTGTTAAAGAAACGGACTTGCCAATTATTTCTGACAATGAAGTACATATTTGTGTGAGCGTGTTTGTAAGTGAGGGGACAGTGAGGCCAGCAATTAGTGCCAATCTGTGTATCACGTCTGAGCAGTTCGGAGTGCGAGGAGGTAGAAATGTGACAACATGCTGTCAACCAGGAACATCTGCAGACAAATTCTCAAGAGAAGGGTGAGATTTGTGTCAAACCTGCTTCTTAATAGTGTAGGTTTGCACCGGACACAGAAAGAGATCTTGAATTTTGGAATGAAGTTCTCAGAGCGGTGGACGAACAGTGAATTTCAAGGCTTAAATCAAATCCTTTATCATTTAGTATACTGTTTACTGTCTAATAAAAACATTTTCAGGCAGTGTGGGAAAGCTCGCATTGTTTAGACCTGTATTTAATTAGCTGCTTACATGAAAGCTACCTAAGCTTCGCTATCTGATCAACTGCCTTAATCCCTTTTTGTGATGTAATTATTTTACGTTCAAGTCTGTGCTGGTTTAAGTGAATTACTTAATCCTGAGCTTACAGACTTTAGCACCATCTCTTTGCCTCCTGTTGCCTCACCTCCCGTAGCCGGCTTTCCAGCTCCAGCAGCCGGGTCCTCCTGGTTTGCTCCTGCTGACTCATTTTCTCTAAGTGCTCTTCTAATTTGGCATTTTGTGCCTCAAGCTTGCCTGCTTGAGACTCCAAATAAAACTTTTGCTGCCGAAGTTCTGAGATCATTTCCTCTTGGGCTTTCCTGACAAAACAAAGGTTAGTTATATTACCTGTTCAGAAGAAGATCTTTATAAAAGGTCACCAGGAAAACAAACGATTTATTTAACGGTAACAACTGTCTACATGGTTTAAAAGTTACTGCTGGGAATTTATTAAAAATGTAAAAAATCCTTCAAACTGAGCTGACAACGTTTACGATTACACTAACAAACATGGAAGATTTCCTAAGCAACATTTCTGCATTTAAGTCAGTTAAAACCGCATTTGCTCCATTTAAAGCAAGAGACAATACCCAGTTTACATTCAGCCACGGTGCGTATGGGAGTAAGACCAACTTAATGAAGCAATTAAGTCAAAATGTGCACAAAGGCTCTTAAAGAAAAGGACAGTGTAAGCAGGGGCTTTCATTTGCTCACATATTCTTCTGGGTGTAGATGCTGCTGTTAGCAGCCAGCTTATTAGCCTCTGACAGCTCAGCGATGCGTTGTTCCAGGTTCTTCATCTTCGAATCCATAGCATTGATGGTCTGCAGAAGGGAATCGACACAACACACTACACATCAGGGCTTAACACGTGTTTCTTATCAACTTTTTTATAAAATCACTCGATTCATTGCAGATTTTTAAACGGTAGTATTTTCAGAAACACAAAAAATGTTGAAGTTCCACTAAATCCAATCAGAATCCTTAAGAATATTTCCTTATGAGTTTACTGTCATTGTGAGATGACTACCTTTAAAAGCTTCTTAACTGCCTCAGTCTAACACGTTAACCAGATTACAACTTAAGATCAGGCTGTATTGGGCAACGAGAAGCATCCTGCGGATTAACTTGTCTTCTTTAACTTATTCCAGTACAGCTGAACCAACATGAGAATTTAAAGTGTTAACAGGCAAAGCAAAACATGGATTCATCCCAAATGCCATGCTCTTACAAATTAACAAATAAGTAGCTTTCACTTAAAGTCTAACACGGTAAAAATTAAGAAGTAGCTTTGTGTATAATTCAGTAACAAATTTGCTTTGGTTGGCTCACTGCTTTCTGTTCACTGATGAGTTTACAGTTCTCCCGCGACTCCTCCTCCTGCTGTGCCCTTTTTGCCTCGAGGCTCTCCTTCTCAGCCAGGTCTGTCTTCATCTGGGCTTCCAGCACCTTGATCAGTCAGAACCAGTCCATATGAGACTCATTAGATTCAGTTTCACATACTCACACTACAGCAGTCAGCTACAGAATGAAGCGGTTTAATGATGTGATTTTAAATGTACAAACTGAGGCAAAACTAATTAGTGCAGTCAGCTCTCGTAGTAAAAGCAACCAAAATTAATTTATAAACGTACTTTAAATACAGCAAAGTGCAACACAGACCGCTTTAAATATAGACTGGTGTTTTTTTTTTTAAATGTTATGAATCTTTTAAAAAAGATTATTTTTTTTCTCTACAACTTCCCTTACAAATAGTCAGATCTAGATTACTTCTCTTCAGTAATTTGCTGTAACTTATGCTACAGTTCCACCTTCCACAACATTGTTTCAAAAATGTCAAGACTAACTTCTTATAGAAAAATATGAAACTGACAAACCTTGATCTTATCTTCGAAAAGCCTCTCCTTCTGAACAAGCTGAGTTTCCATCCTCTGAGCTGTAGACTGGGCCTCCCTCAGGCTCTCTTCCAGTTCCTAAAGTAGTTGACAAACATCGTTTGCTATATCCAACATGCTCACACGAAATATGAAACAGAAAATAGGTCTACTCTCACAGCAAGCAAGTGTCGATTATAAAAAGAAAGAAACTTGCATTGAAAAGCTGGAAATCCACAAGTTGACTGAAGCGACGCCTGCTCATGTTGCCGATGGTACAAATCATGCAAGTAATTCAAGTGGATTTTGTAAGGCTCTGCTCTTTAAAGAAGAGCGTGTGTGTTTATTCTCAAATGACTGGGGGGTAGCTTTAATTCTAGGGTCGAACGAGTGGAAGTAGAGAATGCTGGGTAAAGGGGAAATTAGGGGTGGGGTAGTGCGGTGTATTAGTGAGCCTTATCTGTAGGTCTCTCACCAGGATCTTTTCAGCCATCTGCTGGATCTGCTGGGATTTGGTCTGAATGTCATCCTTTAGCTTATTCTCCCGCCGCTCAACCATCTCCAGCCGCTTTACCTGGTTTTCTAGAGTTTTCCTTCCCTCCTGCTTACACAAAAAGAAGACAGAAGATTAACTGCACATCAAAGTTTTCAGGGTTGAATAGCTGGGGGGGTCCTTCTGTAAAATAAATAAATAAAAATTTCAACAGACAAACCAAAACTTGTTGAGTTTGATTAACCAAGTGTACTTATTTAGCCTGGTACCTCTGTCTCTCTGAGACGACGCTTTAAAGTGTCGCTAGAGTCCGTTTTCCCTCGCAGGCGCTCCAGATCTCGTTCCAGCCGCTCTTTGGCCTGTCGGACATTCTGCAGCAGCTCAGTGGCTTCAGTGCTCGCTTTCACTGCCTGAGGGGAATTCAGAAGGTCAGAGGCTGTTGTTGCGTCCCAAGACAAATATCTCGAGTGACACTACAATGCATTATATGGCACAGATGACAAAACCGCTCTCTTTACAGATGGCCAGTGAAATTTGTATTAATACAAAAAACAGAAACTAGGAAAAGTTAAATACAAAAGGAGTATTTCAAGCAAAATAATACACAGTGACAGTAAATAGCAAGATTACCTTAGACAGTTTGTCTTGGAGTTCTTGGATTTTCACCTGTTGTTCAGAGTTGGTCTAAAAAAATAAATAAATAAAAAAGACAACATTGAGCTGTCTCGTTCAACTAAGTAATTACTTTAGTTCTGCAGGGAAAGTGACAGGTGTATGACGCCTCTTTTACTTTCTCAAGTTTGGAGAGAAGCTCCTCCACTTCAGCTTTTCCTTGCTCTTTAGCCTGAAGATAAACACAGTCAGATTAATAATCGATGACACTGGATAAAGTTAACCCAGAAAAAGTGGTGGGCATTTGAAAGCCTTTTGAATGTGTTTAAATTTACATAACCATCAAATGCTAAATTAAACAGATACAAAACCTGTATTTTTTGGGGGGAACAAACTTGTCTGATGCATTAAATGGAGAAAAAGTAGACGTGAAGAAAAATTACCTTTTGGATTCTCTGCTGGTATTCCACAGCTTTTCGTTTGAGCTCTTCGCTTGTTTGTCTGGAGTCTCTGAGCTCAGATTCGTAGAGGTCACTGCGTCGCCGAGCGGCCGACAGGTCCTCCTCCAGCTGCCTGATGGTCACCTGCATCTCCTCTAGCTGGGCGTGGTACTCCTGGGGCCATCAACAGCATTAACGATGAGCATCGCCAGGTCAACAAATAGTGAAAGTAACATATTTTAAGAAAAATCTTAATGAGGCCTTAGTTGGCTTATCATCATGTTGAACTATGACGTGAATATTCACCTCGTCGTTGATGAAAAATGTTCCTAGGCCAAAACATTTTATTGCTCAGTAAAGTTTTAATTTTCTTTATTTTTATTTAGAGTGAAACTGTAGTAAACTGTAAAGTTGTTTAAGCCATCATAACTAACAAATGTTCACTTTGCTGCAGAGAAACTGAGAATATTACTACAGAAAGCAACACAAACAGTTCCACTGTTAAATTTGTGATGTTTTGTGGCAACGATCTTTATCAACAGAACTTCACAAATCAAAAATAAAAGCCCAAACATTACAACTTCACACTCTAGGTCTGGAGGTGAAAGAAAACTACAGAGTGTCTCAAAGGCTTGGCAGACACTGATATTGAAACGTCTAAACTCTACTGTTTGATTGTGTTGTTTCTTGCACACCATATATTAACCCAATTATATCATTAGATGGCAAGTTATGATAGATATTAATCCAACCAAAATGTCATAGAGGTCACTTAGGGTTCCCACCTGTAAAGAAGCTCCTGTTTTGATTGGTTTTTCATTAAAAAAGTACAGCAAACTCTTGAAGCTCCTTGAAGGGGTGTTGGTGAATCTTCTAATAATCAATCCTTAAAGTTTTTAACCTCACAGAGACACAGTCTGTGGGCATGACCTTAAAGGAGCTGTGCAATCAGAGGAAAAGCTCTGTTTGTACAGTCAATCACTGAGATGGAAGAGTTTCTTGCTGCAAAACCAGTTTTAGATTAAAAACTGAAACCGAAAAACAAGTTATTTTCTTCTTCTTCTTTCGGCTGCTCCTTTCTCAGGGGTCGCCACAGTGAACTAACTCGCTCGAAGACTTGGCAACTGTTTTTATGCCGGATGTCCTTCCTGATGCAGCCACAGGCCACCAAGTTACCACAGCCCTCTGTGTGGGGCAGGGGGCTGCCATCTGGGATGCTGGGGTGGGGGGGCTTGCTCAGGGGCTCAGGATAGGGCAAGTAAGGGTGGGGGCAGGTGTGGGTGCTTCACCTTTCCCAACTATGTTTTTTATGTCAGTCTGGGGAGTCGAAACAACGACCTTCCGATCACAGACTCACCTTCTCTAGCCTCTGTGCCACCACTCCCCCACCCCAACCAAACCAAACAAAACCAGCTATAGATTAAACTGAAACACAGAATATTGTAAAAATAAATAAATACAAAGAAAAAAAAAAAAGACATCAGCTTAGTGGGAGGACCATGAAGTCTTTTGTTCCTTTCAGTAAACATTTTAGTGGAGCTGCCTCAAACTCGAAAGTTAAAAAAGAGGAAAGGTTTACGTACTTGCTCCTTAATTTCTTGCAGCTTGTTGCTCTGTTCTCTTATGTCATGCAGCAGCTGCATGGCCTTATCGTCCTCTCTGGAGACCTCAACACGGGCCTCCTCCAAGCTTCTCTTCAGGCTCTGCAGACACATGAATGTAGTCTCAGCGTCCAGTCAACATCAATTTATAAAAGACCACCAACATCTTTCAACGATATTACTTCATTCAAGCATTTCCTAAAACCATACAGACACTTATGAAAAAGATGGTAGTATGACTCACACTGCACTCAGTGATGTAGGTGGCAAGATCTTGCTCCAGGATGTTTCTCTGAGTCTCTGAGGCTTTCAGCTCCACATCCTTCTGGTGGAGAACTGACTCCAGGTCGGTCATTTTACGTTGGAACCTGGAGATTTCCTGCTCCATCTTAACACATCAAAGAAAAGGCCCGTCTTATTCAAAGCCTTAAGGACAGGGTTAATAATTTACAGCATAAAAAAAAAAAAAAGGATTTTGTGTTCTGTCTGTGTGAGAATAAGACTGTTCTGTAGGATCACTAGAAACGAGCAGCAAAATCCTAGTTTGCCAAGGCTTTCTTGGCAAATACAAACTGGTTCCGATACAGATTGGAACCCACTTTTCTGACCCATCGCCACATCATGAACGCCTCAAATAACAAAGCTGCAACGTTGTACAAATGAGAAGATTAAGTTGGCTTATTAAAGCACAAACGGATGCTTCTGTGAGTCCAGACTGCCAAAATAAACACAAGAAATCCGGAAATTAAATTTATCATAATGAAATTAAAGCAGACTTTTACAGTTTCCGATCAGCAGCTCATTATGCGTAGCTTGGAATAAAATTGATTTTTCCAAGAATAAATCATTTATCTGTAAAGGAAGGATGTATATTAAAAGAGCAAAACATGATTTTCTTAAAAAGTGCACACAAACCTTATGACATTTGTCTTGAGTTTCTTGTAAATCTTTGCTTTTAAGATGCAGTTTCTTTTCCATGGAGTTGGTCTTTGCAGGAGAGTTTAGGCCTGCAGACACAGACCTGAGCAAACAAAGTGAGGAGAGGTTCTTCAGTGTGTAAAGCATGAATACTTCAAACTGCACTGACCTTTATTGGAACATCTGTAAGAAATAAACATTCATCTTAATAGCAAACATGATATTTGCTAAATACTGTTTTAACAATCTTTAAACAAATAAACTATTTCAACAAACTCAGATCATGTAAGCCATTTCTTAACAAAATACATTTTAATGAGGTGGTTTCCAAGTAGGTAAAGTGCAAGCCACATACGCACATGGAGACTAGCTGATATCAATTTTAATATTCCAAAATTAACAAAGAGGAAACATATTGTGAAAGAAAAATGTGGAAAAACACTGACGAAAAACACACAACAACCCCCTTAGGAGCACAAACGTCTGCAATGAGTCTTTCTAACAAGAAGTACACAAACAACAAGACACATAATTGTCAACAATTAGTACACCATTCATTAAAACGTTTTCCTACAAAGACAATGGATTTACTTTTCATCAGAGTCTATTCATCATAGAAACAAACTTCAGTCTTATGCACGAGTCTAATATTTCTTGCTTTTTCCTGACAATAAAAGAAGTTTAGATGAGCCGTTTGTTAAAGGGGGTCTATTTTACATTTTGCAGCGTGTCTAATGCACATGTTTTTCATGTTTAGGCAAAGAAACGTGTTTCGTTTCCATTTGTTTGAAACTTTAACAGCAATAAGTCAATGTTCAACCTTTTGTTGAACAGAAAATAATATAAATAATAATACAATTCCAAAATGAAGAACACACCTGTACGAATGAGCTTACAAATACAGTAGATCTCTAATAAAGTTGACTCGCATTGAGTGTTAAAAATAATCACAAAAGCATGCAATGCTCACTGTGCACCAAGAAGCCTCCCCCTGAAACATATTTATAGATGGCACATATACAATATATCTAGACAGCCCCCCCACACACACACACACACTCCCACCCACACCTTCTTACTAATCAAAAAATGGATATCTTAACTGAGCCTTTGTCAAATCTGCTAATAAATCCTAACAACAAAAGAGCAAATGCAAAAACATCGTCATCCAATTTGGAGTATTTGAAATACTCTGAAGGATTTTCTCCAAACACAACCCCCTGGTACACTTTAAACCCAGCAGGACCTTCAGACAGAGGCTGGTCCATCTCAAGAACAGAACCCCCAAACCCAAACTGAGTGGTGGTGTCTGCAGTTCAGTGCAGACAGGAATGTTGGGACTCTATATTGGAGAAACTAAACAACACGTCCACAGACGCATGGCTCAACACCGGAGAGCAGCTCTTCAGGATCAGGACCAGACTCTGCAGTCCAATCTACACCTCAAGGACAAGAGACTCTGCTGAGGACCAACATGGTCATACTTTAGACAGAGAAGACAGATGGTTTCAGAGCGGGGTGAAGGAAGACATTTACATCAAATGAGGAAAAAACACTTTTAAACAGAGGAGTTCTCAGATTTCAACTTTCAAAACCCCAGTTCAGCATTAGACCTGATTCCCAGCTCTCATCTTTCACACCTTCATGCAGGTGACCACATCATCACTCTCTCTGTGCGCGAGGCAGACAAAGAGTCTAACGAGCGTCCGTCGTGCAGGACGAGTAGTTTCAGTCTAATCTGCAACCGAATCTAAGAACACAACCAGGCTTCTCGTGCAGTTCTATAAAACTTGGAACTCCTCACACTCCAAACATTTTAGAATTGATAAAGACTCCCGGACGGGAAGAGAAACATCTTCAGCTTCAGAATAAAAGTCCAGTTGTTGTTTTTTTTTCTTTAGATTATGAACCAAAAGCAAAACATAAGTCATTTTCACAGGACTTTAAATTGAACAAGGAAGTTTTCCATCAAGGTGAATGTGTTACATTTATTTAATAACTTAAATGAGTGTTACATTAAATTAAAGTTTTGCCATAAAAAATAATATTCGACAACTTAATTAGGACTCTTGTCAAGTTCAATAGATAAAGATGTACAGCACATACAAATTAAAATGGCAACTTGAGACCGAGCTGAGGGTTTTCCTCGTAAGGCTGCATGTTTATTTTTTGTGTGTCTAGCATATAACTGACAAAAAAATATTTATTTCTCACAAACTACAGTTTTATTTTTCTCTTTTAGGTTTATGTTAAATTGTTCAAATGGAGTAGATGACTACACCAGTAGTTTGAAGATTTTTTTTTAGCTTTATATGTCATGAAAGCGGAGCTGCGTTAAATTGGTCAGTGCCGTGGTCTTGTAATCATGAGGTTGCGAGTTCGAGTTCGGGTTGTGTCAGGAGGGCATCTGGTGTAAAACAATTGTCAAATCTTTCATACGAGTTTGCTCGCTGTGGTAACCCCTGAAGAAGAGAGCGGCGGAAAGAAACTTATGCCACAAAAGCAAAAATAAAATACATACACTTCTGCTAAGAAATGCTAAACTGCTTGAACAGTTGAAACAAAGTTGACAAAAAATTGATAAACCTATGCAAGTCAAAGTCTTACTAGCACTAATCAGATAGTTCTAATTACAATATAAAAACATGCAAAACATTAAATTAATCTAAACATAGTACATGCATGAAATAAAATACATAAAAAACTTGTTAGGGTATTTTCAAGTGGTTAGAAATTCACAAAAGATTTGTGAATAAATTATTTTGTTTCAATATTATTCTCAAAACTTTTTGCAGGGGCAAATGTCAAAAACAAACAAAAAATAAACAAACCAAAAGAATGAGTCGTGTTACATTGGAAGAATAAGTTTTTGGCAAACAAATGGCCCTTCTGGCCTTTTAACAGCATTGTGAAGGAGGTCAAGGGATTCATGAAAATAGAAAAATCAAAGCTTGTGAGCGCCCAAAGACATTTCTCAAAAAAGATCTGGCAATTAGATGTGAACGTTCCTCTTTAAACTGAAACCCTAAACCCTGTAACAGCATTAGATGGGGGTTAAATGATCAGCTAAATAATTAAAACTTATCTTCTGGGCACTTTGAATCCAACTTTAAACCCAGTGAGGCCATCTGGCATCGAGCGGAGCATTCTGATAAGGAGTTGTTAACATATCTTGCAGAGAATCAGATGTCACACCAGACAGACTGCGGAAACGATAGGCTCGTCAACTCAAATCATCAGGGGCCAAAAATCAGGAATGCACTCATATTAACTTATAACTGTGGTATGTAGGCTATGTGTGTGTGTAGTATACATATTATACACATAAGCATATTGTGTTTTTAACAGCAAGACAGTGGCTTTATTCTATTCCTTGTTTTATTTTAGTTTGTTTTGTTGAGCCAAAATGAGTCACCTTCTTCTCAAATTGATTATGTGGTTAAACGTTTTATTGACATCTGAGCTTTAGGTCAGGAAACAGACGCCCCCTTTAGGTACAAATCTGCTTATTATTGCAACCCAGCCCCCTGCATAAATGACTGCATCCATTCCATCAAAAGAAACCATAGACAGCAGATAATCATCACGGTTAGTGCACTTTTACACCACCATCACTGAAAAGAACACGTGACCCTGCAAGTAAATTACAAATGATAGTCTAGTCAACTCATAACCACATAATTTTGAACAATACCAGCTCAGAGTTTCCTTTATTTACCAAATAACTCCATTCCCAAGATACCAAAGTCCTTAATAAACTACTGGTAAAACTTTTATGCTTTTTATTGATAAAATTTTGGAGATAAAAACATCAATTCTTCAAAAGACCTTGCTCTGAGCCACCTCACATTTATCCTTTGACAAAATTCTTCCGTTTATCTCAGTGTGCTACTTGATACAATCCTCTACAAGACTACTAAATACTTTCTACCCAAGTGATCCTAAAGAAGTCGGCAGTGGTAATAGACCAATTTGTCTGTTCGTCCTCAAGTAAGAGTGCTTTACACTGAACTGAACTTTACACATTGAAACGTTGAAAACGGCCTCAATTAGACCCCTTCTCAAGAAACAATCTCAATCAGTAAGTTACCAACAGTTACCAACTCATCACTAAACTACCCGTTGTTTAAAAATGTGTCTAAGGAGCTGTTAGATGCAATAGAAGAAAATGACCGATATAAATATATATCTACAACTGATTATTGCAGTCCCTCTTTGGTACTTCTGTCCTGTGGAGTTCCTCGGGTTTATATTTAAACCCAATTCATTTTATTTTTTAAAATGCTCTACATTCTACTTTTTTTTGGGGGGGGGGGGGGGATAAACTTTACAATTCCATAGCTCGTTAGGTGATAACATAGTTGTTTTTAAAAAACACCTAAGAGACATTTTGTCCACTTCAATTAATTTGCCAAAGAAAGATCACAACAAAATGCTCTCTGTTATCCTATACAGTGTTTCCCCTACCATTATACAAGCGGGGTGCCCCACCCCATCAACAGAACTGAGCACCCCACCTACCAAATCGAACTGGAACTTTGAGTAAGAATGATTAGCACTTCTGGATGTTTTATATCCTGCTTCTTGAATTAATGTTTTATATATCGTTTTATCTGCAGTGCATTTGATATCATTAGTAACCTAGGTTTCAAAATGTAATTTTCCTGACTTACATTTTTAATAAAGACTTAAGAATTTTCTTAATTAACTGAATGTTTTTAAAATATTAACTTTTTTGATAAATTCATGGAGTATATCAAGAAAATTGATACATTTTTCCCTTAAACTAAAAAGAATGCTCAGAAATCTGAGCAAACTGTTGGGAAAATTTGTCATTGAGTTTTCCTCATGAAGAGTCAGACAATTAGGGTAAAGCATAAAGTGTAAAAACCACAACTATAACGCAAAACACCCATTATGCTTTACTTTGGGCTCTTCTATTTCATTTATGGCATGAAGACTGAAGAATGTGGACATGCATGCACTCGCACAACATTGATACATTTTAATTTCTGAGGTCTTCTAAGTCAAATGCAGCTGGATCCAATGAAAAACCATGAACAGATGATTGATGGTGTAACAGCAAGGGACAGAGACATAAGACGGAGAAAATAAGAGGAGGAGAAAGACTGGTAAAGATGGGGGTGGGGACTGGGGAAAAAAAAAACATGACGATAGTAACCATAGAAATAGATTTTCTCCCCCAATCTGAGCTCCCATCCTTCTTCCTATCTAATCTGCTAACGCTTCTTCTTCCTTTTCTGTTAGTGCTGCTGCTGTTTTGATCCGCAGTCTCCAGCATCATTAACCTGCTAGAGCGCTGGCATGGGGGCGCAGAAATGAAAGCCATGCCTGTGCATTATTATCTGAGGTTAAGAAGCCAAACACCATTAGGATAAATTACAGTCCCAAGCTGTAAGAGTAGGAAGCCCATTATGCTTTGCCGTAACAGAGGAGCCACAATACGAGCAGCAAGGGTGGGAGTGTGCCGGTGTGCGGGGTTCCGCTTCTCAGCAAACCTCATTGACACACTCAGACGCATACCAATCAGTGCTCACAGAAAGACAACGCAGGGTAACCTCTTCTGGTTTATTAATTTGATCTACCCACGCATCACGTGAACTATGTGTGATCCCAGAGCTCAGAACGGCACAAAAAACAGAAATGATAAAGAAACGAGCACCAGAGAAGGGGGATTCCTCCCATGCTGCTCGTCTGACACAGCATATGGTCAAACCAATTTAAGTGCTAACAGGAATAAGATGGACACAGACAAAATCAGCAGTCCAACTGTTCATCCAAAGCAACCTGAAACAACACTACCTGAAAATTGTTGCTGTTTCAATGGGGAGTCTTTTAGTATGAGATTTTTAACCAACAAAGGTGTCACAGAAGGGGCTGTGCAAGGGGTCTCTTTGCCGATTACAGACAGACAGTGGATTCCTTCTGAGAATAAGACCAGCAATAACAGGAAACAGGTGGCACTTACTCAGTTTTGGCCAGTGCTGTTAATGGTCTGCTGAAGAACCAGCCTAGAAAGGGCAGATCCTGGCCCTGAAAGCCCAGAGGCTGAGCTCCTCGTTGGGTTGCTGAGGCTGGCCAGGGGGCAGCCTGCTCCGGCTCCTCAAAATTAGAGGTGTCATCCTCAGCATGCAATGCAGGAACAAAAGGCGGAAGAACTGCGAGGGTAAAGAAGGGAATAAAAGAAGACAATGGGAAAAAAAATAGTTCAAAAAATAGAGAAATAAACGACAAGGAGAAAGGGAAGAGAAAGAAGGGGAGGAGGAGCGGAGCGGAGGGAGCCTAGAGTGCGGCAAGTCGCGCGTTGATGCACATGCTGCCTCCGTCCCTCCCTCCTCCTCTCTCTCTCTTTCATACACATGCTCGCTCACTCTCCCTCACTGCAGCAGAGCAAGCTAATCAGCTGGAGCCACAGCTGAAGCTAAAACCCCCATCTGTGTTGAACTGTCAGTAAACAATATGACACAAATGCACATGTTGTGTACCACATTTAATGTTCTTAAAAGTCATCAGATAAAACTGTAAAAAATAAATTAAAACATTTTTTTATTAAAAAAACGGCATAAATTTTAATTGTGTAATCCAATATAATCTGAAATCTCTGTTGAACTGATGTTTTGCTTAAAGCTCGTTGTTTAAAAAAAATCGTCATAGATAAGATTTCTGTAAACAGAAAACATGTCAGAGGAAAAGATGCTTGATAAATGCTTCTGAATAGGAGGGTTTAGTCATCTGAGGACACGAGCAGAATGATTCGGCAGAGCAAAACAAGGGCTCATCATCCCTGCAGATACAGTCGTGAATTATAATACAACGTCAGGATGCGGATCAAAAACGAGAGCGTGCTTCACTGAAAATGTCTAATAATTAAATTGTTGTGGATTTGTTTATCTAAAGCAGGTTAGCTGATGGAAGTCAAATTTAATGACAACAATGACGCAGAACAAACACACATGTATTTTTAAACATATGGAGTGTGCTGGGGGCGCCTGCATACAAAATTTGTGGTGCAGGTTTTGGGAATGAAATGAGTCTGCCTCATTTTTTGTTTCTTCCTCAGTCTAAAGAAAAAGTTGGCCTACTGCCAACGACACACAGAATCTCATTATTTACAGCTGAAAACACTGTAACACAATTGTTCTGCGCTGTGCACACACTTAATGCACATCATAAACAGTATTAATCTTTCACAACAAGCTATTACTCATCTGTCCAATAACACAGCTGCAACAGCCATATCACTATTTAAACCCATTTGAGGCTTTCTCCCCCCTTCAAACACAAGAGAATAGAAAGTCAGAGGAAGGGAATCCCTCACCTTGCCGTAAGTTCTTCCAGTCTATACTAGAGAAGAATGAGTGACAGCAGAGTCCCTGAAAACCCAGACGTTTGTTTGCTCCGCACAGCAAGCTCTGCACCAAGTCAACAAACTGCTTACTGGCACGTGGCTCCTCTGGAAACTTTAAATAACTCTGCAGGCAAACAAAACAGATACTACATAAATATAAATACTGATCAGGTTTTACTATATTGAACTTGCATATTTGATTCTAGTCGAGTACCGGGGTAGGAAATGCATTTATTTTGTCGGTTTTCTTTTTGTTTTGTTTTTTAAGACCGGATGCAATCACTGATCAATACCTGGAAGTTGAGAATATTGTGAATCGTCTTGGTAGAAGTGCCACCAGAAAAAGGTGACTTGGAATAAATAATTTCATAAGCGATGACCCCAAGGGACCACCAGTCGCACTCGATCCCATAAGAGCTGTGAGGACCCCCATTTATAGCGGTCAGGACCTCAGGAGAGAGAAAGTCTTGGGTCCCGACAGGTACAGTGGCAACAGCCACCTGGAAACATTTTTTTTTTTAAAAAGACACTTCAGTTTAAACACTGTCAAGGCCACTGAAGTTAACAAAGGGCCAAACTCTGTATTCCACTCACTGTTTTGTTTGCAGTCAGTTTTGCAGCTGATCCAAAATCAGCTAGCTTAATGTGGCCGGTCCGATCGATGAGAATGTTCTCAGGTTTTACATCTCTGAAAAGTGGATAGTTTACAAGACATCTGATACTGCTTTTAGAAAGCCCCGAGTACAATTCAGCAGCATTCATTTGTGAAACAATGATTATACACTACATGCCATCATACTCTGAAGTCAAATCCAATTTTGTGACTAAAGTACTTGAAAGTAAAAAAAAAATAGCTACTCAGACCATCTACTTACACTGTCTTCTTCAAGATAAACACTCTGACAGTGAGAGAGTGGATTTAATAGTCCGTCTCCTACCTGTGGACGTAACCCAGCTGGTGGACAGCATGAATGGCCTCTACCAACTCAGCCAAATAAAATTGAGCAACTGACTCATCAAACTGGTCCTCATATCGGTTCAGCAGAGACATGAGGTCACCGCCTGGCAAGTACTCCATTGCCTGAAGACACACACAGATACACAAATATAGTCAAAAAGAAAGGAAAACTGCCAGAAAGCAAAACAAAAACAAAGACCAGTGTTACAAATGAATATGAAAGAATGTGTTTGAATTTTACTGATCAGCAATAAGAAGATACAGACTTTTATTAAAGCAAATACGTCTGTATTCAGGGTGTAGAGCTCAGATCAAAGATTTATTTAAATCCATCTACTTTGGTAGTGATTTTCTATATAGATTCAGTTATGTAACAATCTGGATACTATTACTGATTCATCTGTGATACTGCAGTCAAAGCATTGCTAAAAATACACCAGGAATAACTGCAAAATCCCTGTGAGGCTTTTAAGCCTCTGATCAAAACAAAAACCATTTCAGTGAAGTAGACGAGCCACAACTGAAATTTTATTCAAAACATTATTTTTAAGCTTCAAAAAGACAAAGTAGCTGCAGTCACGTTGACCATCGTTTTCTGCTCTCTGTGTCTTGAGAAGAAGGAGCCCGGGCAAGTTAATTGAAGCTCTGTGGTTGCCTCCACACAGCCATAACAGGCGAGAGCCCCTGGTGCATGAATGGTCTGCAAGTCTGAATGAACGGGAGCATTCTCTAGTGTTACCTAGCAACAAGGAGACTGGGTGCCTCTATGACACACGGGTAAAGATGGATGCTTTGTATTTTCCTCCATGCTCAGTTTGTGAGGAGGGTGAGAAAGAGGGGGAGTGTAAAGAGAAAGAAAAAAGGAGATGAGACAGACATGCAGGGATATAAAGGAAGATATACAAGTGGCTAGAAAGAATGTCAAACAGTCCTAAACTATTTAAGGCTTTGCAGAAAATGCCTTTTCTTCAACTTTAGCTAGCTTAGGTCATCGAAAAAGATACTGTGAGGTTAACAGTCCGCAGTAATTACCGGTACACTATAAGTTTGGTTTTAAAAAATTAAAAAGCAATGATTTGGGGCAAAAGATCGGACTATTGAGAGTATAATGTTATTATTGCGGGAGGACAATTTTGTTTCTTTACATTAAACTTCAAATGATTTGTGTGCTAAATAAACATTAAAGAGAAAAATCCATGAAATGTTTTTAGTAACGGAAAAGCCAGAAGAGGTCGTTTAGCTTAGCTCGTAGCTTAGCTTCTTTTAACAATCCAAAAACGTGATTTTGGACGATTAAAATGGATTTTAAAGAGAAAAAAGAAAGGGAGGAGTCACTGGAGTTGAGCCTTTTGTCATCCGGTGTCTTCAGTAGAGAGACACGAAGAAACGATAAAGCCGATAAATGAAAATGAGGTCAATAATTTTCATTTATCATGAGATTAATTGATTTATTGTTTATTGCGACAGGCCTATGCATGGACTAAGATACCTACAGCCTACACAAAGAGTAAGATTTGTCTTGTGCTCTAACATACAAAGTGACATGGCTGAATACATGTATAAATGTACCATAGCAAAAAATAAATAAATAAAAAAAAGAACATGACTATTAGACTTTCTAAGAGCATTTTGAAGCAAGACATGAAGAAGTGAGTGGCGCTCAAAGGTTATTGCACACAGTTCTGTATTTTCACAATGAGGACTGAGAAAAGTCCAGTGCATTTAGTAGTAGGAAGGACTGTTGGATTTCGCTGAGAGTCAAATATAACAAACATTTAGTAGTATCACTAGCAAAAAATGTGAATGAGAAAAATAGCAGGTAAATGGACTGTACTTATATAGCGCTTTTCCATCTTATCAAAATACACAGAGCTCTTGAACACAATCTGTGTCCTCATTTACCCATTCATACAGCACTCTACTACATCTCTACAAAGAATAATCAGCGCTTTATCACATTCATACACCGATGGGACACACATCGGAGGCAATGAGGGCTTCAGTGTCTTGCCAAGGGACACTTCAGCATATGGAATTGAACCCCCAACTCTTGCAATGAAGGACAACTGCTCTAAACACTCAGCCACAGCCGCCCAAAATAACAAAACAGCTTTGATACTTGGTATGTGGTTAGATTTATCTAGCAGGTGCTTTGCTCTTGGTGATTAAGCTGATCATTGTGACATTAACCAAGAAGGATTAGTGAGTGTGTCAAAAAGTGATCTGCTCAAACCTTCTATCATTATTGTAAAGACACAAAAATTAATAGCAAAAAGGTTTTTGGCCAGAGGAAGTGTAGGAGGATTATTTTAGCTGTTAAAAATGATTTCCAAGTGTTGTAGTGGTGCTGATTCAATCATTATATTGAGCAGTGTTAGCAGTACAACTGCAGGATGTGATATGAATGATCGATGACCCTTGAGATCAGCTGCTTTGTTGGATTAACAAGGCATTACAACACAGGAAGCAGATTTATAAACACTTTTGGGAAGTCATGGAAGAAGCAGGTTAGGTGCATTTAAAACAAAGAATATCTGGGTTTGGAATAAGTTCGAGTAGTTTTGAAAAATGCTGCAAATGAACAAGATCGGAGGTGGTGAAAAATCAGGGTTGATTTAAGAAGCAAACATTAAGAATGAAGACAAAGTCCAAGACCATTATGCTGAACGTGGCCCAGTTTTAAATGAGAAAACTGTGCCAGTAGGGTCTGTGAGCACACCCCATGCTGAGCTCCACAGGTAAAATAATTTATTTCAGTGAATAAAAATGAATATTGCCTAAGAAACATAGAAACTGCAGCTCTTTTCATTTTCTAACAACTTTAGGCTACTGTGACAAATTATAAACGCTCTCCAAGTTGTCAGCATTGCATTAATGTCTTCCGAGTATTTGTGTGCGTGAAGTGATAAGTCCAACAATTGATTGGGTTTTATTATTTAAATTCCAATTACACAATGTCTTACAATAACAATGGCTGAGTGATGTAATTTTTGAGTGCATTCTAAATTGTAACAGGAAATTACTTTAAGCCATTACTTAAACACTTCAGTCTTACCAGGTAGACGTTATCTTTATCCTGGAAAGAATATAAAAGCTGTGGAATCCAGGGACTACTGTTCAGTGACAGGATCTTCTGTTCCTCCTCATGAAAAACCACCTGCAAAAAAATAAAAAAAGACAACATTTGTATATGTACATGTAATGCAGACAATCCAAGGGCCTACAAATCAGGGGATGGATACAAAAGGCTTTTCATAGACCTACAGGGAAACATCTCCAGTTCTGTTAAATCCATCATTGTGAAATAGAAGGAATAAGGGACATGTGTAAATCTACCGAGAGCTGGCGGTCCTCACAAACTGAGTGGCCACGTAAAAAGAAGAAGAGTAGAGATAGACCACCATGACACCTGGGAACACTGAAGGTTCAGCAGATGAGTTGGAAGAGCTTGTCATACAACAGCTGTTGCTGAAAGTTCACCAGTTTAAACTTTAGGACAGAGTGGCAAAGAGAAAGACTGTTGAAGAAAACTCAATATTTATTGACTAGACCCTGAAATATCTAGGCAAACTGTGGTCAAGACTTCATAGGAGTTTCTTCAACAGAGGAGTTTTAAAAGGTTTCATCCATTCCGTTTATTCCGAAGTTGGATCACGGGGGCAGCAGCTTGAGCAGGGAGGTCCAGACATCTCTTTCCACAGCCACCTCTTCTGGGAGGACCCCAAGGCGTAACCGAGAGACATAGTCTCTCCAGCGTGTCCTGGGTCTTCTCTGGGGTTTCCTCATGCCTGAAGCACCTCCCTAGGGAGGCGTCCAGGGAGCATCCTTACCAGATGCCCAAACCACCTCAACTGGCTCCTCTCGACGTGAAGGAGCAGCAGTTCTACTCTGAGTCTCTCCCAGATAACTGAACTTCTCACCCTATCTCTAAGGGAGAGTCCAGCTACCCTGTGGAGGAAACTCCTTTCAACCACCTGTATCCACGATCTCATTCTTTCTGTCACTACCCAGAGTTCATGACCATAAGTGAGGGTAGGTACGTAGACTGACCGGTAAACAGAGCTTTCAGCTCTCTCTTCACCACAACAGACCGGTACGGAGTCCGCAATACTGCACCAATCCGTCTGTCAATCTCACGCTCTATTCTTCCCTCACTCGTGAACATTTTAAAAGGTCAATAAATAAAAATGTACATCTGCAGTTCAGCTACCAGCTGTGTGTATTCAGTTTTTTCTCCTATACCTGCAATGCAGGCAGTGTGTTCTACTTTAGCAAACAAAAGCAATGCAGACAGTACATGAATTAACATTGAAATAATTTTTGTTAAAGTCCATTTTTTATTGGATTCTGTATTGAAATTTTTCCAAAATATATGTCAGATATTTAGATATTGGATGGCCACTAATCCAAAAAAATGAACTTTTGATCTACAAACTCAATGACCTCTTTTTACAGCCTTGCTTCATGTTGCTTACTTTGTCAGTAAAATACCATTTAAATAAATCAAAGTGGTGGCATGAACAAAACATCACTTGCTCATTCAAACTGAGCAATTTGTTGCTCATTTCACATCTCTTCCTGTCATTGCTCATGTACTATTCTGCCTGAGGTCTGTTCTATTAGTCATATGCTGAAAAGCACAATTGTGAACGGCAAAAATATCCCGATATGATTTTAGTTTATTCAGCCCCACAGTGCTCTCCTGTGGGCCTTTTAAAGATTACAACTATTGAACACTGTGTGTGTTAATAAAGGTTAACAAGGCCTGCAAGGACAGCATCCTGATTGTGATAAAATGTAATAAAATATTACTTCTAGATTTTACCATTCTGTTGAGGTATTTTGTTAGCCAAATAAAATTGAGGAAGCTTACATTTTCTTGGGTGCGTAACACCGTCTTGTTCATGACTTTAAGTGCACACACGTCTCCGGTGGCTTTCTCTCGGACCACTTGGACTTCAGCAAAGCGGCCGCGACCCACCACAGCGCATAGCTCAAAGTCCTGCGGCCCTGGCTGCAGGGCCCGCAGCTCTGAGACCACTTCAGAATCTGTGCAACAAAAAACAGGTTTTCAGACAATACGTTCATTTACAGGTACACATGCAGAATAAATGGGCATTCAAAAGTTAATATGACTACTATTAAATGATTTTTATTTGTAAGTTCTTAATTTTTGATTTGGTAATATGGATTTGAGTTGATTTTTATGATGTGGTCAATTAAAATGTGCATATTGCGTAACAAACAAAATACATAACAAATTACTACTAACATTTCCTAAATGGTCTACTGGTTACATGAATATACAGAGCTGTGTGGAAATAATGAGTCATCACTTATTTATGTCCATTTTGCTTTGAAGAACTATTATTATATTAAAAATAATTGCGATCAATAGTTCTCAAGGCTCTCTGAAGGTTTTTATAAAATTTTACCGTGGACTTTGGCACCTTTGTTTTTCTGATTTTCACTCAAGTACCCGAACATGTTCACAGGAATGTTTTGGGTTGTGTGTGAACCTATTGAACCAAGATTCAGATCTGAAAACAATCCTAAACTTGTAAGACTAATAAATGTGTCGACATATCACATACGGTAGTTAAACAACCCAAAGACAACAAATTTCTCAGGTCCTGTGTGAAGTCATCGCAGGATTTTATTGTTATAGATTAGATTATAGATTAGAAACAATCCACTTAATTGGGCTAAATTGGACACTTTTAAAAAGTTGGCACTTCCTTACTTTATATGCGAATGTTTCTGTTCAGTGCCCTGAGAAAACTTCTGTCGTGACTTGGTGCTATATAAATAAACCAAATTGAACGGAAATTGAATTATCCATATTTGTACACATACAGTACTTAATTACAAAGTAGGAAAATATAGATGCAGCAGCAGCTGCCACAACCTGCTTGCTTTAGCCCATAATTTTGTATTTTTTTAAGAATGCCCTTCTATTCTAATACAAGTTTTTCTAAGGTTTGTTAGATGTACATTCATTCAAGTTAATCAGTTATTGTTACATTTTGGTAAATTAAAAATATATACTGACAAAAAAAAAATACTAACACTAGTAATAATAACTAGAAGCACTCGGAGCACAAAGAAATCCTGATTCAAGTCATCACCAAAAATTAATCAGTTGTTCTTTGTGAAAACCTCTTTTCCTTAAAATGTCATGGAAATCCATTCATAACTTTTTGAGTAATCTTGGGCGCAGACAGACAAACCAACTACTGAAAACGTAACCTCCTTGGTAATAAACTGGCGTAAAACAGCCAGATATACTAAACGCACGACTAACACTAGATGCACGATGGCTCAGTGATGAGCACATTCGCCTCACAGCAAGAAGGTCCAGGGTTCAATCCCCGCCGGTTGGACCTGGGGTTTTTCTGTGTGGAGTTTACATGTTCTTCGCATGCTTGCATGGGTTTTCTCCAGCTACTCCCGTTTCCTCCCACAGACCAAAAACATGCATGTTAGGCCCAGGCCTCCCTTGCAAAAGAGATCTCAGTGGGATTGACCTGGTTAAATAAAAGGTTAATAAATAAAAAAGCCTGGCACAGAAAAACTTCGCATTCTAGTCAAAAACCTGTCCATGTGATCTATCATGGTCAAGAGGACTGGAAAGAAAAGAAAATCTTCAGAATGCCTGGAGAAATGTTGATCTTTGTTTTTTTTAAATTACAAAAAAAAGGTCTGGCTGTGGTTTAAAAACTCCTACACACGGCAGACTAAAAACTTTCCCACACGAGTAAAAAAGTGATGCTTACATTTCTTGACAAACTTGGCTACGTGATGTATCTTCATGAGCTCCGGGGAGGTGCACTCTTGGTAGAGCTGCAGAAGAGCCTCCAGAAACTCCTCCCGTCCAACAGAGCATCCTCCTCCCTGCTGCCCACACAGGCTCACTCTCCCCTGGAGACAATAAGCACAAACACAGGAAAGGGAAGTCAACTCTGCGGTCACTGCAGCGAGTTTCAACCGTTTTTAGAGGCTGGAACAACCCGGCTCACGCGCATACTGACGTATGAGAACATGCTAGCTTTACCTGAAACACCTGGTTGAGTCTCAAGCTTCGGGCGGTGATGGGGTCGCCGGAGGAACCGAGTGTTTTCAGGCTTCCCTGACTCATATATTTGAATTTCAGCATGGTTTCCGAAGCGCAGATAACCTGAGCGATTGTCACAGTTGGCGTTAACATACACGAAGCATCGAGACAGAAATATTAGTCACGAACGGAGCAGTCACCCAGTGTCAACAGCTATTCTTTTAGCGTGAGCTAACGGCAACTTAACGTCTGTTCCCTAACTTTATTAACAAAGCAAAACGAAACAACCGACATTATCTTCCAGTATGAATGTAAAAGTAAAACAATGCGATATGACAATACTCACCAGACTGCCATGCAGATGTTAATAGAGTTTTACATGGGTTAAAGTCAAAATGTACAAGAGCACACTGTTATCTTCTGCTGGCCACTGGTCAACTTTCAAATTTTGCGCGTTTCCCGCCCACCTCGCGAGCCTGGTGAATGAACGCGGTATTTCATTGGTTGAGCTGCTTCTAAATGGGCGGGTCTATGTGCAATTTTTAACCAATCACTGCAGGGTAAGCACAGGCGGAAACGCTTCTTCTGAGAGGTTATTTTCTCATAAAGACATAAAGATTACATTTTGTGACGTTATTATAACAACATTATTAGAGTTGAAAACAAAACGAAAAAGATTATCCACTAACTTAAGCAACACTAAAATTTTAACTTTCAGTTTTGCGTTTTTAAATTAGCATTTCCAAATTTGTTTTCATACAAAGAGCCTTTTTACCTGTTAAGGCGCGTGTGTACACGTTTGTATTTTTAATACATATTAGGGCATTGCATTGACCTTTATTTATTTTTGTAGCCTAACTCTAAACCCAAGCATTTTCAGTTCATACCCAACTTTAAGCTAAACTTAATCCACAATTTAGACCTAAGTCTAACCCAAAAATGAAGTTCCTCAGTATTGGGACCAGGCTTTGGTCTAAGGACTACTGGTCTTTATGTGATTACAGTATATCGGAAAAGAAAAAGGTCTTTAAAAGGTGACCAACCACACACACACATATTGTTTATGCTGTTTTAGCTTGCGCACCTAATTTAAAGACTTATCCAAGTCTGTTAGTGATTCATGCAAAATAAACATGCAACAACTTGCACAAAGCCAACATCAGGGCCAAAACCTTTATTTCCAACAGAGATACATGTTTCAAGATGGTCAGTTTCCAAAACTATAGTCAGAAAGCTTTCCTTGATGAGGAGCCAAATTGACCAGGATTTTTTAGAGATGTGCTATTAGGGTTGGGGTTGAGTTTGGGACTTTGGAGTGGGTTTAGGATTTGGGTTGGGGTTGGGTGGTGCTGGGGCAGGGGCAGGGCCGGGGGCTGGAACTGGTGCAGGGTCAACATAGCACCCTCTTTTGTGCCACTGCATGTCCCGCACACGTCGGACGGACTGGATCTGAGGTGCAGTGGCTCCCCAAGCGTTCCAGTGCTTGAAGTCTCCATGTTCAAAAACGTACTGGCGTCCTCTGTAGCCTGGATACATGTATCCCACCCACCTTTAAAGTGAAAAGAAGCAGTTTTAGAGCCATAGTTACAAAAGCATTTGTATCAGTTAGGCACGTTAAATTCTCTTTCACTAGAAGACTCAATGGCTCCATTGCGTTTGGGTTCAGTTTTTATATACCGGAAACGATTACAATATTTATAAATGAGAAGGTGCATCTTACGTTCCAGAGATAGCCTTTGCGCTGGCCACACGATCCTGGAAACCATGAGCCCACAGACTGGGGACATCATCGTCGACAATCTCCATCTTTCTCCCTTCAAAGCCTGCATTCTCAAACAGGTGCAACTTGTGATCTGCGCTGTCCTAAAGAGATCAGAAGCACGTGCCTTTCACCAAAATTTACAAGCGCTAATGTGACACTTAGAAATGCCAAGTCAATAAACAATGTCCTAATGGTTGCTGACCACTTTCAGAGGCCTGAAGGAGGTTAAGGTGTAGCTACTCTGGCAGTTGGTCCATGTGCTCCAGCGGGGATACTCTCCTTTCTCAAGCACAAACTGCTCTCCAGCAAATCCTGGACGCTCGAATCCCACCCATCTGACGACACACAGACATTTCATTACAATTAAATCTGCACATATGTTCAAAGGAATAAAAAAAACCACAGGAAATTCAAGGGGAAACGAGATTCACTCACGGTCCCGACTCAACAATGACTGAGCCAACTTTTTGTATCTTCTCCAGCGCATCTTTGCATTCACCAGACAGCTCCACCTTTTTTCCACGAAAGTTCTCAAACTCAAATACGGCCAACTGCAAGACAAGAGCAGGTAGAGAGGCATGACCCTTCTCAAATCCAACAATCGTTTCGGTTTTTCATTCCATCTTTTGAGTTGGTGTCTTTACTAAATCAACAGCAAAATGTATCATCTCGTTCAGTCTTGTACCTTATATGTGGCACCAGCTCCTCCCTGGCCCTTCCCTACAGGCAGCTGGTCTGGGCTTCCTTGCTGTTCTGTCATGTTTTCTCTACAAACACAGCATTTAACAGATAAATGGTAAAAACACACCTTTGATTTCAACATCTTTTGTAAAGTTTAAACACAAAGTAACTTATAAATTATCGAAGTAAACAAAATTGCACATAAACAACAGAGTTGCAACTTTGAGAGCATTTTTTTTTACATTAAAACGTGTGAACCTATAATCCTGATCTTTTTGTTACCTGAAAGACTTGTGCTTTCCTGCACCCCAAAGACACCACGTTCGTCGTCCTTCCTCTGTCTTGTCTCGGTCTGTTTTTTGGTTTTTCTTTTGTTTTGTTGCTTTTGCCTGTCTCAGTGTGAGGGTGTGTGGTTGTGGAGGCCTGGCGAGCGGTTAGTGGATGCCAGTGGGGGTATTTATGGTTTATTTATGGCCACAGCAGCAAAAAGCCTGTTGATGCAGCAAGTCTGTCGCACCCATTGTGTCCGTCACACTGCTTCTCAATAGGTTTGCCCTCTGTCCCTGGCACGCTGGCAAGCACTACACAGCTCTGCCCACACTGCCATCCTGGTCATGATCCTTTGGTGGCACACGCACTGACTGCCAGCCAAGAGAATGGACAAGAATCAGTCTCACTCAGCACTTTTTGACCAGTTCAGTTATCTTCCTCTCTGACTCAGTGTTTTGTCTTTTCCCCACTTATGTCTTCAACAAAAATGTTTCATTTGAATTAATGACATCACATTTTATCATGTGCATACATTGTGTTTAATCTGCCTTAGCGCATCCATCCATTATCTTTACCCGCTTCTTCCTTTTTGGGTCATGGGGGTCACTGGTGCCCATGTCACTGTGTGAGGGGCGGGGGACACCCTGGACAGGTCTCAAGTCCATCACAGAGCCACATAGAGACAAACAGCCATTCACTCTCTCACTCACACCTAGGGACAATTTAGAGTTACCAATCAGCCTAACATGCATGTTTTTGGTCTGTGGGAGGAAACCGGAGTACCTGGAGGAAACCCACACATGCACAGAGAGAACATGCAAACTCCATTCAGAAAGGCTCCTGGACCGGGATTTGAACCAGGGTAACCTGCTCACTGAGAGGCAGCAGCTGTACCATTTGCACCACCGTGCTGCACAGAACATATGAATACATCGCCCAAATATCTGAAACATAATTTTTTACAGTCCTACAGAACAGTCCACAGACAATACTGTACTGTACTCGAGCAATGTATTGATGTGCAGTAGTGAGAGTAGATTTTTTTTTACCTGTTCTCATTTCAGAAAGTCCAGATGATGGATGCTAAATGTACCTGCTCTTTGACCAGCCTCCCTCATTGTTAGACCATGGTTGAACATGTTCAACCAAAGTGGTTCGGATCTCAGATTATGGTCCTGGACCTTCCTCGTCATCATTCTCCCTGTCCTAGTCCTCTCGCTCCTTTGGCTCTGCCTCTGTTTCCAATATTGGCATCCATTCCTACAAAACTGAAGATCTCACCTGTTGCCACTTCGTGCTAAAGCTCTGACAGCTAATTGTAAAACTGTGTGATGGGTGTTTGCCTATGTGATGAGTCGGTGTGCATAGTAGGGCAATTCATTTTAGAATTTTGAACAACCGTGTGTTCCTTGTGAAAACAAGAGATTTCTTCATGAAATTTGAGCCCAATGCAGACAATTGTTCAGAGTTTTGAAAAGTGTTTAAGAACTACAACTTGAGTGTCAAGCAGGAATTCTGCTTGTAGTTTAGCAGAATTGGTTCCACTTTCTATAAACGCTGTTATTCTTTAATCCACCTTTCCCACCATGTTAGGAGATTAGGCATCTATGGTAGCACCTTTAAAAAATATATTATACTTTCAGTTCTCATCTACCTACCACCACTGTTTTTGTAAATTGCTCACAGCTAATAGCCATTTTCATTCATGTCCTCATTTACAATTTTTTTTTCTTCTTTCCTGTCATCCAAACAAATCATTTCATGAGTTAATTGATCTAAAACTCCAGCTACTGAACAGGCAACTCCAATTCTCAAATACAGGCTCCATCTATACCACTTTGGATAAAGTTTCTCTTCCTCACGTCCACAGCTCTCCATATGTTGCTATCTATATCTAGATCTATTTAATCTCCCAAGCTATCTACGATGATCTCGAGAGCGAGTCATTTGGTCACGTTTGTTATGTTTGGTTTTCCCATGTAAAGAACACACTTCAGCTTCATTTCATTAAAAAAGAGTTTTAATAAAATTCCCTCCATTTCCATTAAAAACAGTAGGATGATCTTAAATGATCACATAATCCATGACATTCATTTATTCAGCATTATAAAGGCACGTAGAATAATCTTGAGTTGGTTAAAGCATTTTCCAGGTTTGAGAAAAAATACACACATTTCCTTAAGTGACAGACTACCATGAATGTTATAACAAGCTACTGTGTTAATAATGTTAATAAAACCCCTTTTATCTGAGTCTGGCAACGCTTTAACAACAATAACTATAACTCCCTGGACTGTTAATAAGTTCTGTACATGATATATAGCTCAGTTGCACTGAACAGGTAAAATGTTGTCATAGTTTTGTTTTAAAGTGCTTTAGGCTTTTTTCATTTTTGGATACATAATATAAAAAACAAACTAAACACATGCAAGGTATATACCTTCTGTTCCATATTTCTTTACATGTGTATGGTTGCGGATTGATCCTCACTAAATCGGAAAGCCTTTTAAAAATCAAAACAAGATCTTAAGAATGAAGCTAAAAGGAGATTAAGAAGTTTAAGATTGGGACAATCTGTTTGGTTTAGGATTAAAGATTAGATAAAGCAATATATTAATTGTGACAACTGCATAAAGACAAACATGTAAATACCCTGTTGAAGAAGGTTTCAGAGTCATCAGTCCCTTTCTGATGGTCTTGTACATTCAAGCAGTAACAGGGCTTTTCTGTAAAGTACGTTTCACCCTCCAGACCACTTTAATAAACATCTACTTGGCTTTAAACACATTACAGTGACTGTGCACATCCTTGGCACCATTTTTCATTTAAAAGATATAAACAGTCTTTATTGCCACCATGTCCAGGAGGAGAATCTGTTCTCCACGGGGTCTAAGGAAAGGCCCAAAACTCCGTCTCTCAAGGTGCAAGATGGAGCGGCCATGTTGAAGCTGAGACGAGCTGGCTGAGACGAGCTGGCTGAAACTGAGCGACGGCACTCCTGAAGGAAACAGAAGATAAAACCAGATCAAAAGCAAGATTTATTTGACATGACTGATTATTGATTTTTTTTTTTAATTTATGTTTATCTTTATTTTTCCAAGTATACCTCAAAATGCTGAAGCTTAGTGAAGAGCCTACATAGGCACTGATGTAAATGTGCAGTTTTGATCAAAATAAGATAAAATGTTGTTAAGATTTACTTGTTTATAGGTTTGCTATTAATGTCTTGTTTTCTGTTGAAGCATGGCGTGTTGCAATAAACTAGAGGATTTAATTTTTTCTAATAAAGCCGTCTCCACCTAGGCCTGTCTTTCTGAAGACACTGGATGACGAAAAGCTCAACTCTGGTGCTCTTCAATGACCCCTTTTCTCTTTAAAATCCATTTTAACTCTCCAAAATTGTGTTTTTGGATCGTTAAAAGCAGCTAAGATGAGAAGCTAAGCTACAAGCTAAGCTAACAGGCCGATCTCGGGAAAAAAAAACAACCTCCGTCTTGTCGAAGCTCCAAAATTCACGGTTGAAACCCGTGCCCTCGTGTAAAACGTTTATCTCTGCAAAAAGAAGCTGAGAACTTGTTTACTGATTTTTTATTAAAAGCTTTGTGTGAAAAGTGCTATGCTAAAGAGCTCGAACCACACCGAGCGTCCGCCATTTTGAGAACCAAAGAGAGACAGCCCATGTCACGTCATGGGGCCTCCCTCCCATTTTTCTAAAAGAGACACGCTGCTCACTCCCTCACTATCCATCCTTCGGTTCAAACAGTCTTATACTGACAACCAGTGGTTGTAAACAGGTACTACATGCAAAACAAACTAACATTTCTCCTTAAATTTGACAATAATTACTAATTATTGTCACATTTCAAACAATATTATCGTTTATCGCAATAATTTCTTGAGACAATTAATCGCCCAGCAAAATTTGTTATCGTGACAGGCCTATCTCCACCACAGTGTAAGCTACACACCTTCAATCTGTCTATCTCCATTCATATCTGTCAATCAATGGCTGATCAGGTAAATCCTGAAAAGCTCCACAAATCTTATAAAATCCACAGGATGCCGATCGTATTTAAATAAAACCAAGACTGTTCTATTTTAGTGATATTTAAACTCTTAATGATGTTTTTAATGAGCCAAAAAACTGTCATTGACAAACACAATGATTAGAAAATCTTGTAGAAATATTGTACATGTTAAAAATATGGTTTAAACTAAACTAAAGAACGTTGTTTGGACTACAAAATGTGGGGAAAGGGGCTCACAATGAGGAAAGATGCTGTTGTTGATGAGGCACAAACAGAGCTGTCGTAAAAATCTGCATCTAAAGATACTTTGATTTTGTTTGGGGTTTTTTGTACCAAAGACACCACAACATAATTGACCACGTAAATAAACATGTTAGTCTTTTTTTTTTTAAGAAACAAAGTTACTCACTTGTGTCTGGCTAAGTTTTACCACCATGCTGAGTCATACGCTGCTTAGACTTCAGCTCTTTGAGCCACGCTGGAGAGGAGACGGCACTGATGGACACAGAGTACATGTTTTATTTACTCTCTCCACGCACATTTACACATTTTTTAACATATTTTTATAAAGTTTCCAGTCATAGTATGCGCGTACCCTCCGTCCTTGCTGCCTATGGGTGGTAGAACCCGTGTAGCTCCTGCGAAACTGTACAGTCGAGGAGATTGCAAAAGCTGTGAGGGAGAAGGTGCAACTTCTCCACTTGGATTTTCTTCCTCTTCTGTTCCTTTGTCCTCTTCTACTGCAGGTCCTCCTCCGCATGTTTTCTTCTTTATCTCAGCCTTTAACATCAAACACATTTTACTGCATTCAAGAGGCGTCTACGTTATATTCATGCCGCAAAAATGCGCTTAAGCCCTGGGAGAACTTACGAGTAGGGCCGCAGGGCTCAAACCAGGAAACACAGAAACTTTCTGAGCGGAGGGAGTGGAATTAATTGGTTTGGGCTGTTTCTCCTCAGAAGCTGACTCCTTTTGTGTCTTTTCTTCGCCTGCAAACAAAGTTAGTAGATCAGTGAAACATGCAGAAAACCAACACTCTAAATATCATTTTGTTCTTTAGCTGAAAGAATGTACGAAACGTATTAACCTGTGGGGGGATTGACGCTCCAGTCCAGTCCGTCTGTCTGACCTGACACTGCACGGAACGAGCGTGATGGACGCGATCGAGTTCGCCTCCGACTCAGCTGTGCTTTAGATCTCTGTGAGCTGGTATCAAGGAGAGGAGTGGAGATCTGTTGTAGGGCACACAAAATGGAGCATTAACACAACGTACCCCCACAAAAACTCATTCGCATGAACATACTGCATTGTCTAAACCAGGGGTGCTCACATTATTTCAGCATGCGAGCTACCGGTACTTTTAAAATGACCAAGTCAAAGTGATCTATTTACTATAAGACCCTGTTTACACAAGAACAACCTGTGGAAATGTTGGTGTTTTTTCAATGTTTACTGGGGGTAATAAACAAAACATGAGCATGTTTACATGAAAAACGCTGTAGTCCATGTCAGTCAGGTTGCCAGATAAGAAATTATGAACAAAAGCACCCTGGCTTTAAAATGATAGTATTTCGACCTAAACTGTCATGTGCTGAGTAAAGATATTCTAAGATGATGTGTGTGTTGTGTTTGTTGATCATGTGCACAGAAAAACAGGGGGTAAATAAGATATTTTAAATTTATCTGGCAACCCTGGCGCTCCGCTGCATCCATCGAGCATGCAACGTCTGCATGATCACAGTTACCGTCCAAACAGGTGAATACACTAACTTCTCTTTGTAACTGGATTTATTAGTTTTGCTCCTACATGCTGAATAAAGGGTGAGTAGCACACAAAACACTCTGCTCTCTGCCATTCATTATAACTGTTGTTAGTGCAGAAAAACTTTTGACTGCAGCTGCCTGTAGTGCGCATATGCATCTTCACACGCAGAGAATTTCATGGGGGGGATAAATATGGATAAATATAAATATTTTCCCTGAAAATCTCCATTTTGAGACCTGGTTTGAGAGAATGAGGGCTGCGACTGGCTGCCCTGTAGGTCAAGCAAGTAACAAATGTCATAGTGAGGAGTGACGTGAGGTTGACATATATTTTTTTTAATCCCGTGCGATCTACCCTCAATGCCTTTATGATCGACTGGTAGATCGCAATCAATGTATTGGGCACCCTTGGTCTAAACTAAATTCACTGTTTAGGTTGTAGTAAATAAGAATCAGATGCGCTTTATAAAAGGTGAAGATTAAGAAACAATCACAAACCTCAGGGAATGCAGGGAAATCTGCCTCTTTGTGAGACTCAGTGGCATCAACACCATCAGAGGGGACATCAGGGACGAGCTGTGGACTGGAAACAAAAAAACATGTTTAGTACTGGGTGTGGAAAAGAAAAGTTACTGCTAAAAAAATAATCTTAGTTCATATTTCACCAAGCTACTCTTTTAAGGCTTGTGGTGTGTTCAATTAACCACAAGGGGGCACACTGACGTAAACTCTTGGAAAATACAACAGTACAGTTTGATGTCCAAGTACTCATGAAAACATAAAACAAACAAACAAAAATAAACATTTTGATCATGCATGCATCACTGATTGCACTGAACCTGCTGCTCCTCCTGGCTTTGTTCTGTAAGCCTTTATTTCAGGTGTATCTTCCAGTATGATCATTTGGATGAGTACCGGTAGGTAAATGAACACACAAGGTTGATACCTAAACTTGTGAACTCCTGTCTTTATTCGTCAAAACAAATAAAAAAATAAAAAAACTGAAGCCAGTAAGATATACTCCAGATAAATAAGGTTTTATTTATTGACCTAATGTGAGAACTGTTTCCCTACCTGTCAGTTCCAGATGTTTTCTCACAGATGTCGTTGGGTGGATGTGACTCTTCTTCTGACAGAGCATCCGTGAGTTTCTCCTCATCACTTGTGAAGTAAGTGTTAACCTGCGTCTGCGAGTAGAGCACAAATTAAACGGAGAAAAGTAAAAACAAACACAAGAAGCAGCGATGAATCAATATAACGATGTTTGTAACTAGTCTGCCTTTAATTTTCTAAGATTCAACTTTGCTCTGTAAACTACAATGTCAGGATTTTAAACTGGAGCTGAGTCAGGAGGGGTGGAGTTGTGTGTGTTTGTGTGTGTGTGCGTGAAGGGGGGACTGTGAACTGAGCCAACATCCCTGAACTGCAGAGGAAGGAAAGACTGAGGACCGGCCAAGCATACGTCTTTTAATGAGCCGGTCACAGACACTGGGCTGTCCCCATTAAACACCGGGCGCGTGGGTGTGCTCGCACATGCACGAGTTTACACACCTGTGTGCACAAACACAGTCATGATGTCACGCCCACATGCTGGAATGCACAGATGCGTGCACTCAAACACAACGTGGCAGAGGCTAACAAATTCACTTCATGACAAACCAGCCCCGCACTTCCTCGAAAACATTCCTCTGAGCTCACTCCACTTTTTGTTTTCAAGGGACTCATCCCACTCATGCTTCTGCCTGATAGTGTCACCTGGAAACGTGATAACACTCCAGTAAACATCAGCGCCCTTCTTCTTCATGGGGCGGTTTATTGCTCGGAGCCCACAGGGAGGCTTCATTTGCACAAAGCCTGTTATCTGGCAGCATAGCAGCATGAATGAATGGGCTTCTGGTGATTTTCCTATAACCACATGGTGCGTTCAGAGGCAGAAAACAAAGTCCACCACAGCAGACACTGTTTCACTGCAACACGTTTAGCCAGGAACTAACGGACCATTATAAAAGTTAGTAAAGTAAACCTGTGAATATGTTTAACAAGCGCTGAAATCGTCCAATAGTTTAAATAAATTATATTAAGCACGTTTAAAAATAAAAAAAAATTAAAAAGCAAAACCAAGTGGTCATTCCAAGACCGTAACCATCACATATTACCGTATTTTCCACCGTATAAGTCACATCAGTCCAAATATGTTAAAGTGGGAAAAAACATAAATAAGTCGCTTCACCGTATAAGTCGCATCTATTATGTGTCACCGCTGACAATCGGGAAACGTGGGCCGGTGTTGTGCTAAAAATCGCTTGGATGCCAAATGGCGACCACAGGAGCATGCACGGAGGACTTTAACAAGAATTTAACAAGATTAACACTTAAAAACAACTATTTGTTTGTTCAAAATGATAGCAAAGGTGTGTCTTAGTTGAGCTTTTGCTTAATAAATGCACTTTGATGGTCAAATCAGCTGCATTTCAGAAATTGATTTGCGGAAACTGGAGCGTGCAGAGGAAGGACTCGCTGCGCATTTCTTTGAAATTTAACAAGATAACCACCTAAAAACAATTATTTGTTTGCTCGAAATTATAGTCAAAGTGTGTCTCAGTTTAACTTTTCCTTAATAAATGCACTTCAATGGTCAAATTAGTTGCATCTTGTCGGGGCGACGCAGCGAAATGAAGCTGATTTGATGGTTGCTCCAGGCGAGCTGGACGAAGGCGTCAGTTTATGGCAAGCCGATCGTGTCATTAATAGCCACTTTTACCTATTGCATGACACAACAGCATGCCATACTACTTAAGTGCCATCTAGCGGCTGAAAATGGTAGTGTTCAATATTTTCAGTCAGAATGAATGAAAATGTTCATACCTCAGCCAAAAATTGGTTTATAGATATGGAAAGAAAATCCATAAATACGTCGTTTCGGTGGCATGCAAATTATCCAAGAAGGTGCAAGTTATAAGCCAGAAAATACGGTAAGTAAAAGGAAGTCTATGTATTTACTAGCAACAACAAAAGTACTGGTAATATAGAATCCTCTTTATTTTCAACCCTAAAAATCTAAAATTGCAGATAAAGCAACACATTTTAAAAGAGTTTACATCAGGGTATTCATCATCATTTATGAAATTCTAGTAAATCCCACAGATTTAATTTGAATGACAGCATGACAGGATTGCTTTTTAATTTTCAAGTGAATGTCTGACTTGTGCAAAAGAATCCCCCGCCTCAGAAAAACTGCAAATTACTTTTACATATAGTGTAGTAGAACTATTTTTGAATGTGAGCTGCAGAGTATTTTGTGGGCTTCAGCTGAACATATTTTAGGAGAAATAAATCTAGTAAATATTGTGTAACTTCCACAATGTTTTGGTGCTTTGATTGTAGCATATTTGTTGTCTGTTTGGGCCTCAGTCAACTCATGAGGCAAATATCAGCACCTTATGCAGCAAAGTTCTCAGACTTTATTACATAAATTCACTGTCTTATGAAAAGATAATGCAAAAAGTAAAACATGTTAGCATTAAGCTAAAAGAAGGATTTGCAAAGCAATGGAAAACTGCATTTGGACTTAGGGTGAGCAGTGTAGCATCCTTATCTAATTTATAAAAGAAATCACAGCATCTTTCAGAGCAAGCGTTGCTTGACAGCCTGTTTGAGGTTTACAGCTAAGTTTGGTTGCTGATTTGTTAATGCTTGATTGGCAAACGTAAATAAAGGCGTTAAACCAGATAGATTTGTTGTAAAACACTTTCAGTTGATTTTTTCTGTGACAGAAAGCTTAAAGCAGATTTAGCAAGCTTGGTCTAAACAAAGAAATATTGTCTTTTTATAGTAAGCCTGCTGCTTTTAAACCAACGCTTGTGATAACAAATGTTCCTCCTGGTTAACAACAGACATAAATATGGGGGATAATATTTTCTCTCTTTTTGTAGCATTCATTCTTATAACAAGTTATGAAACCTAGCATTAACAGTAAAATAAATGTTTTGTTGTATATTTTTCATAACAGGAGGACACACAGCAGGAATGTGAGATTCTATGCTACCTTTAAATTTTAGTAAGGACGCACCATTCTGCACTGGTATGTTCAATAACAGTGCAGAAACTAACAAGAAAAAATTAAATGAACTCATTAAACGAGTGCAAAAGAAACACTTTTGTCACTTTACAGCTAAATATTATGGGAACCTTTTAAATAAAAGTTCCGTACAAGTAGCATATATTTTACAATTCATTTTATTTGCGTCATTGCTATTATACAAACGCCGTTAGAGCTGATTTTATTTAAAAAGGCACAGAGCCCAAACTGCCTCCAGATTCCTGAGATCTTTTACGAGGACAAGAACTGCTCGACAAGTGCAGACATATAACCGTCATGAGTTTAAAGCTACCTGTGTGTGTGACAGTGTGTGAAGGTGGCGTATGGTTGAGCGTGTTGAGGCAACGTCTGCTTTTCTTGAGGTTCACCTGCTTCAAAGTATTTGTCACTGTCAAAGGGAATGTGCAAAAAGCTCGTCTGACGTTTAGATAAGAAAATATACTTGAGACGATCTGAGATTTCTGTTGGAGGACAAGTGCCAATGAAACATCAGTTCAAATCTACAGTGCATCCAGAAAGTATTCAGGCGCTTCACTTTTTCCACTTTTTGTTGTTACAGCCTTATTCCAAATTGTATTAGTCTCCTCAAAATTACAATTACAGCCTCAAGACTTTTTGAATATGATGCCACAAGTTCATCATCTTTACATCTCCAGAGATGTTCAATCTGATTCAAGTCTGGACTCTGGCTTGGTCCCTCCAGGACATTCACAGAGTGATCCTGAAGCCCCTCCTTTGAGATCTTGGCCCCTCCAGGACATTCACAGAGTGGTCCTGAAGCCCCTCCTTTGAGATCTTGGCCACTCCAGGACATTCAGAGTGGTCCTGAAGCCCCTCCTTTGAGATCTTGGCCTCTCCAGGACATTCAGAGTGATCCTGAAGCCCCTCCTTTGAGATCTTGGCCCCTCTAGGACAGTCACAGAGTGGTCTTGAAGCCCCTCCTTTGAGATCTTGGCCCCTCCAGGACATTCAGAGTGGTTCTGAAGCCCCTCCTTTGAGATCTTGGCCCCTCCAGGACATTCACAGAGTGGTCCTGAAGCCCCTCCTTTGAGATCTTGGCCATGTGCTTTGTGTTGCTGTCCTGCTGAAAAATGAACCAGTCTGAGGTCATGAAAGCTCTGGAGCAGGTTTTCATCCAGGATGTCTCTGTACATTGCTGCAGTCATCTTTCCCTCTATCCTAACTAGTCTGCCAGTGCCTGCTGCTGAAAAACATCCCCATAGCATGATGCTGCCACCACCATGCTTCGCTGTAGGGATGGTACTGTTCTGGTGATGAGCGGTGCCTGGTTTCCTCCAAACATGACGTCTGGTATTCACACCACAGAGTTCAATCTTTGTCTCATCAGACCAAAGAATTTTGTTTCTCGTGGTCTGAGAGTCCTTCAGGCAGGTTCCTTTTGTCAAACTCCAGATGTGCTGCCATGTGATTTTTATTAAGAAGTGCCTTTCATCTGGACACTCTGCCATACAGCCTGACTGGTGGATTTCTGTAGAGATGGTTGTCCTTCTGGAAGGTTCTCCTCTCTCCACAGAGGAACGCTGGAGCTCTGACAGAGTAACTATCAGGTTCTTGGTCACCTCCCTGACTAAGTCCCTTCTCCCTCAGTCGCTCAGTTGAGACGGCCGGCCAGCTCTAGAAGAGTCCTGGTGGTTCCAAACTTCTTCCATGATGGAGGCCACTGCTCACTGGGACCTTGAGAGCAGAAGAAATGTTTCTGTATCCTTCCCCAGATCTGTGCCTCAACACAATCCTGACTCAGAGGTCTACAGACACTTCCTTTGACTTCATGCTTGGTGTTTGTGCTCTGACGTGCACTGTCAGCTGTGGGACCTTCTATAGACAGGTGTGTCTTTCCAAATCAAGTCCAGTCAACTGAATTTACCACAGGTGGACTCCATTTAAGTTCTAGAAACATCTCATGGATGATCACTGGAAGCAGATTGCATCTGAGCTCAATCTGGATGTGACTTCTTTTTTTTTTTTTATATAAATTTGTAAAATATCTCAAAAAATATTTTGATTGTCATAATGGGGTATTATGTGTAGAATTTTGAGGAAAGAGATTAATTTAATGCAATTTGGAAT